TATGTCCTTTTCATATGTGCATACAATGTACTTGACCATATTCTCCCCCTTACCCCCTTCATCCTCAGTCTTCCCCCTTCCCGACACATAGCCAATTTTTTTCTTTAGATCCAGCTTCACATATAAAAGAAAACATTCAGTATTTGTCTTTTTTTTTTTCTCTTGGTGGTACTAGGGTTTGAACTCAGGGCTTCCCATTTGCCAGGCAGGTGGCTATAACACTCGAGCCACATCTCCAGCCATTTTCTTTTATTTATTTTTCAAATAAGGTCTCACTTTTTGCTCAGGCTGGCCTGGACCACGATGCTGTTATATGTGCTTTCTGCCCTAGCTGGGATGACAGGCATGCACCACCATGCCCAGTTGTTTCCCATTGAGATGGGGTCTCTTAAACTTTTTTGCCTGGACTGGCTTGGAATTGTGATCCTTCAATCTTAGCCTCCCAAGTAGCTAGTACTACAGGCATGAGCCACCAGCACCTAGCAATTTTGTTTTGGCAGTGCTGGAGTTTGACCTCAGGGCTTCGTGCTTGCTAAGCTGGCGCTCTAGTGTTTGGGCCATCCTCCAGGGTTATTTGTCTGAGTCTGGCTTATTTCACTTAACCGGATGATCTCCTGTTCCATCCATTTTCCTGCAATGACATCATTTCATTTCTCTTTATGGCTGAGTAATACTCCATGGTATATTTACCTCTGCTGATTCCATGACTTGGCTGTTGTAAATAACCCAGCATAGGTACTTAGGTCTCTCCCCAGTTATGGCCACTGCTTTCTAAAATGTCACCTGCCACTGATCTTGTCCCCAATTCATCATACACTGTAGACAGAGCAATGTCTCCTGTATGTGATCTGTTCTTGGCATTTGTCTGCTTAAACTCTCCCAGGGGTCCAGCCTTCCTAGTGTGCTATTCAAGACCCTCCATGGTCCAGCTCCAAGTGCATTCCTTCTAACTCTGTGTGCTACACATCCAGCAGCATGCTCGCTTTCTGCCAGAACATGCTGTGGACTTTGAACCACCACATAGACGAGCCTTCTCATAGGACAGACAGGATGCTGTGGATCAGAGAAGTGCAGATAGCTGCCCTAGGTCACACAGCCTGCATGAAGCAATCAACACTGGATCCCAAGTTCCCAAGTAGGACACCCTGGAATCTTAAAGATGTGTCTCTGATCCCTTCATTTCCCTCCTCTGCGGCCTTTGCTGAGTGAAAACAACCACCTCTCCTGTGAGGAGGACCACAGTAGCTCCAATCTGTTCTCCAAATGGACTGCAAATCTAACTGTTCTCTATAGACAAAAACCTTTCAATAACTGTCCATTGCTCTTCAAATGCAGACCCAAGTCCTAGGGATATGGCCCTGATGTGACTTTCTGACTCCATCTCAGGACCCTCACTGTGATCCCCACTCTCTTCCAGACTCCCCAACGCACCTTGCTCCTTCCCACCTCAGGGCCTTTGCTTATACTGTCTTTTTTGTACTCCTCCTCCTCTCTCTTCCTCATCCTTCATCTCTCTTTTGCTGTCACTTCCTCAGGGTGCCTTCCTGGTGGCAGAATGGGTGGAGGCCCTCCGTGAGACCCCCTGTCTGCTCCTAGTCCTTTGTCCTGTTCAGGTCCTCAGTCTGTAGCTGTGTGCATGATTGTGACAGCTCATGTCTTCTATCACACTCCAAGCACCTTGAGTTTGAGCAGGGATGTCGTGCACTTTTGTGTCCCCACTGCTGATCACAGCCACTGGCATGAGGACAAGAGTCAAGTGTTATCTGTGGCCCTGTAGTGAGGTGGATCTTGTCACTGGCATTTGCCCTTCTTATTAGGAAGAGAGCGAGAAGGCAGCGCGTGGTTCAGTTCTATGACACATAGTCGGATGGCCTGTCATGCAGGGTGTTTGTTGTTGCTGATGCTAATTTGGTTTTGCTTCGTTTCGGGGGGGGAAAGAATCAGAATGTTTAAAAAAAAAAAGATAAAACATTCCAAAAACAGTTTAAGCTGTAAGAAACACTATGCTGTTAAATGAACAAATTTAAATTAATCTCACTTCAGAACCCGAGCAGGGATTCATGACGACTGCTTGAATTTTTTTCTTTTTACTGCAATATCTTTGGGGCCAGGCCTGCACAATGAGGCACAGAACGTTATTTGACTGTGAGTAGGACAGGCCATATGCATAGCACACCAGAGGGACTGATGGCAAAATCGCCTGCTCACCACTTCTCATGCATTTCTCATGATGCCATCTGATCCAAACGCATTCCAGAGGCTTCTTAGTTCCAAAGCTTTTCAGTATTTGGATGAGTTCTGTTTAACTCAGTAGGATTTCCAGTTTTTAGCTTACTTTGATTATGGGTTTGAATGGAATTCATTATTTTGTTAAGAGTTTGCATTCCAGAATCCACCAGCAAGCATATGAGCTTTCCAAATTTATCCTAAAATAACACTGTGCTTTTTTTTTTCAACGACACTGGAGATGTAAGTTGTTTTTCTTAAACCTCTCCATGAAACACAGTCCTTCTCTGATGCCTTTCTTTTGAGCTATAACTGAACATATATAAAACAATATTTGGAGTGCACACCTGTAATCCCAGCTATTTGGGAGGCAGAGATCAGGAAGATTGTGGTTTGAGGCCAGCCTGAGCAAAACATTAGCAAGACCCCATCTTAAACTGTAAGCTGAGCATGGTTGTATGTGCCTACCCGCCCACCTATGTGGAAGGCATAGGTAAGAGAATCACAGCTCCAGGCAAAAAACATGAGGCACTAACAAAATAACTGACAAAAACGACTTGGGGGTGTTGCTCAAGTGGTAGAGCTCCTGCTTTGCAAGTGCAAGGTTCTGAGTTCAAACTCAAGTCCCACCAAAAACCAGAAACAAAGAAACTTTAAAATGAAGGTATGTAAATTTACATTTATTAAACTTTTTACATTAAAATAATATACGTCTATTTCAAAAGTTTTAAGAGAAACAAAAAAAACAAGAAATGAAAGAAAAGATGACACTACTTAAAGATAGTCACTATAACACTCTGGCATTCTCCTTCAGCCTTTTGCTACACATGTATGTATATTTTCTTTTTGCAGCATGCTGTAGTACAGTTTCCTGACATGTATACACACACGTGAACTCAATGTGCGTATCTCAAGGCATCACGGGTGGCTGTGTGTCATTGAATGACCCCAGCCAATGTGACCAATCGCTCTAGAAAACATTGCCAGCGCAGTAAATGGTCTATTTCTCAGCATTTCAGAAAAATAGAGCATTGCAGGTAGGAGGGAGGGAGGATGTGGGGCCAGAATTCAGTGAATAATGCTTATGTCTTAAATCACATAGAGTATACTTGGATCTCTTTTTGATAGATCTGGAACATTCTAGAATGAGTTTCTATGTAGGAATAAACATACTTGTTTTTAGAAGAGTTATATCTATGCAAGGTTATCAACAATAAAACCAGTAATTCTAGTGTCAAGAGGGGAACCCCATCCCATTTTTCCCCCAGTACCACCCAAAATGGCACTTGCTGATAGAAAGAAAAAAAGTTGCCATGTTTATTTGTGTGCAAGGCTAAAAATTCAACAGAAGAACTGAGGTCAGACATTCCAATCCTTTCATGTCCTCATGATGGCTGAGAAAACCAGTCTTTCCCTTCAACTCCCTGCCCTTGGTAGGGGTGGCACAGAAAGACTTAAGAAAATCAGAAAATCTTTTTGAAGAAACGCTAACCACATTTAACAATGCACAAGCTATTGTTTCTAGAACTAGTTTTGAAACCAATCTGTACTTGAGACTCAGAGCCTGGCACGTGTGCTGGTCAGGTAGCACTTCCGCTCACAGTGTGGTCTGTGGGAATGCAATACTTGGGGCCAGTACATCTGGCAAAGGAGCATCCCTACTTGTAGCAGGGGCTTCCCCCGACCCCCACATACATCATAACAAGTTATAAAATTCCTACTTGGGACTTGTGAAAGAGTATAAGTCAAAGTGGATTTCCCCCATAATTGTATTACCACTGAACACTACTAGTGCTGATATTCTTTTAAAAAGTGGCAACATTCCATCTTTACATGGGAACTGCAACAATGAGGTATTTTAGATGATCCATACAGGTTTGCTCCCAGCCAGTTTCATGGCCTCAATAGCTGAGTGTTCTGTAAACTGTAAGGATTAAACGAGGTTCACTTCTATACAGACCAGGTTAAATATTTTCAGTGTACTTGCTGTAAATATTTATTTGATATAAAGTACTTCTTTTTGGAATTAACTCTGTTTTATTTGCTTTTTTTGTAGTTTTCTTGGACATTTATTTATTTTTGCCTTTTTAAAAGTATTGCTATATTAGAGGTACATTGTGACATTTATCAAAGTTCTTATAATACATCACAGTTAAATTCACCCCTCCATCATTCTCCTTTATCCTCCATCTGCCCATTCCTGAAATTTTTCCATTTTCATACATGAAAAATAGGTCTCACTAAGGAAAGGTCACTAACAGAACAGGGAGAGTAGAAGAAGGAAGTTAAGAAGGTGAATATGGTTGATATACTTTTATGCAAGAATGAATACAAAATTTTTAAATCTGTTGATGTCACCATAAGAAGGGGACTAAGACAGAAAGGAGAAAAAAAGAGGGAATATAAAGTGTTTCTAATAAAACCTCACACTCAGAGTTAAATCTCTCTGAATACAACCAATTACACACAAAAAACATTCACTTCAGTCAATTCGAGGTCACTGCTGATTACCCTGAGGTGAAAGAGACACTATTTCATGTGCCCAAGGGCAAAACCATGACATAGGCTTTCAGAGTTTGAAAGATGGTGGCAGGGATGGTGGAGAGGGAATGTTTCCTTTCTATCTCCTCTGGGACACAGGGACAGTTCTGGGCCCCAGGAGTTATCCGCTGAGCACTCATCACAGTGCCTTGCTCAGTGCATGCCCTTAATGTCTGCAGATGAGGAAGAGAAGAAGATTCGTGAACAGGGAAGGTCTGGGTCTGGCATGGTCCCTACGAGCCCACCACGATCCTTCGGCTGATGGCTCCCGGCAAGGTATAGATGAAGAGGACCAGGAAAATGATGAGGACGATCAGAATGAAAGCAATGATGATGTACTTCTTGTAATTCTTCCAGATGAGGTGGTACAGGCACTTGAAGGGACTCACAAACCAGGAGAAGGAGGTGTTTGGGCGGCTGAGGGCAAGAGAGAGGGAATCAGTCAACACTCAGGATCTCAGGCCCTCACGAGGGAGGTCTGCCTCCTACTTTCTGGGGACCCACAGGAGAAGCCTGAGGATTGAGGGGTGGTGAGGGAGGACCATGCTGCCTGAAGCAGAAGCAATCTAATATATGGACAATAGTTATTCTTATGTGACTTTAAAGGTTGGTCTGGAGTAGAGCTAGAGGCCAATCAGAGCCCAGCTGAGGCCCCACCACCCTCCATCCATCCTACCATGACTGGCTCAAACCCCACCTCTTACCTGAAGTCTGTCTCAAGCACCTCAGTCCAAAATGAGCCTCCTCACTCTGAATTCCTGTCCACCATTGCTTGAGTCACCCCCTTTCTGAGCTTAACATGTTCGTCTTCTATCGTCTCATAGCTCTTGTGAGTCTCCTATTTCTCCTTAGATAAATTGAAAGCTCCAGGAGGGCACAACTTATATTTTACATCTCTTCTGTGTTCTCCAAAGTGTTTTTCAAATGGGCATTAAGGAAACATTAATGAACAGCATCTATTATGTCCCTAACACCATAAGAGGTGAAAGGCAGGTAGAGAGATGCCACTCATCTTGAGATACCTGGGGCCTGGGGAGGGATGGGACAAATGCAATTCCAAAAAGTATTTTGTATACAAGATTCATATTTATAGCTATTCATTTTTTGCAGTACCGGAGTTTGAACCAGGGCCTCACGTTTGGTAGGCTGGTGCTCTATGCTTGAGCCACTCCGCCAGTCTCTTTTGTGCTGGTTACTTTTGAGGTGGGGTCTCTCTTTTTGCCCAGGCTTAGCCTGGATCATGATTGTCCTATTTATGCTTCCCACCATAGCTGGGGTGATAGGTGTGTGCCACCACACCCAGATTTTTTCTGTTGAATTGGGGTCTCATGAACTTTTTGAGATCCTCCTGATCTCAGCCTCCTACATGGCTAGATTACAGGCATGAGCCACCATGCCTGGCTTTACTTTTTAATTGATGTGAAACGAAATATCAAATTGAATAAGGTAACCATTTATTTCTAGTAATTCTACTTCTGGGGCTTTACTCTAAAGTAGTAATTTATAAAAAGAAACTATTTTCATCATATTGTGATAATGGGAAAATGTAGACATAGTTGAATATCTGATTATGGGGTGATGATCTGGTTGGCTATGGACAAGTGTGTAGAATATTTTGGACATTAAAAATTCCAGTTAGGGAAACTATGACAACAAAGCAACAATTTTAAGTTAGGGACAAAAATCTTTAAGACAAGTTTTCTCTGTACAATTAGAGAATAACTAGAAAAAACTCGTGAAATTCATATTCACATAAAAATGAATAGAAAAAATGTATTGAGATGATTCTAGAAATGCTTGTGTGGAACATTACAGACAACATCTTCTCCAGGGTCAAGTACGCTCATGTGTTTAGATATTACAGTTAAATTGTAAGAATGAAACTACATGGGCTGGACAGCACCAATTCCTGGACCCCCGGCTTCCCTCAGGGAGGCTCCAGAAAATGACGGCTCCTCTGAACCCCATGGGGGCTGCAGACACCCTGTCATCCATTTCCCATGTTCCCACCATAGCTCACTCACTTGGGCTTAGCCAAGGGCTCGGGCTCCTTCCGGGCCTTCCCGACAGGATTTTTCTCAGCTTCTTCTGCTGTAACCAGGTGGAACTCAGCTTCAACCTTACCCTGTTTTTGTAAAGACAAAACTTCAATTTCTAGTGACAGACGACCTGCTGAGGAAAAGCAACTTCCTAGAAGAAGTGTTGTCATGTTAGAGAATGCTAGGAAGTATTTTGACAAGGTGTTGATTTATTTTGAGAAATGCTGTTGTCTTTTTAGTCCTGGGAGAAATAATTTTATGATGAATAATAAAGGCCCCAGAATGGTGTTACTGTTGAATTGTGTCAAGCAGAGGTTCCCACGTGAACACACAGACTCACATATGCTCCGTCACATCTAGTACTCCACTGTAATCATTTAATATATGAAGAAGTAACATTAATCACAAAAACTGAACAGTAATTAGAAAGAGGAGGAATGACTTGAGTTGGCAGGCCATTTTGTGTCTGCTGCCATCTTTCCTTCTGTCAATTTTCAAGAGGAAATTGGCAGGTAGAGTTCCATATTTGCCTATGGCTTTTCTGTCATCCTTCATTCCTTTTGTTATCGACACTAATTACTTCAGAATCATTCTTTGTTTCTTCTTTTCTCCTGCCCCATGAGAAGCAACCTGTCTGATTTGGACGTTGTATGCCATCAGCTTTTTCAGAGCTTTTGGTCAAAGTTATTAGCAGGCAGCGATGTAAGCACTGCATTTTTCAAAGGATAAGACAGAACTGCAAGAGTCAAACCATTCTCTTGCCTAACTCATTCATTCATTACCTTGGACTCACTCTGCAAGCCAGACACTGTTCTGAGCACTGGGGACTTAATGATTAAGAAAATAGAATCCCTGGTCTCCTGGAGAGCCCATTCTTGGTGGAGGCAATCCTCTCTCTTCTTGCCTCCTTGAGTTTTGTGCATTGGGATACAAGGTGACAGGAGTCTGGAGCATCATAGGGTACCCAGCACACACAACAATTGTTAAAACTTCTCCCTCTAGAGCGCATGTGGATTAGACATTACTGGACTTGGAGGCCTAGTTGATTTCTTACCCCAGTTAAAAGGTCTGAGATTCAGCCGAGCCAGAGGTCCCATGTTAACTTATGCTTCGCCTTCCTCAACCAGTAGGATTGGTTATCATGAAAATGTAGTCATGGGATAAGTGAGGAAGAAGTAGAATGCTCAGGATGAGTGAGGGGCAGGAGGAGAGTAGCATGGTTGTCTGAATGAGTAGAGTGTGGTGGATTTTGTTACAGGGGAAGTCATGCATTCAAATCTTGGTGGTCTCATTCATTCTTTGAATTAGACGCCTGGGCCAACTCAAAACAGCATTGTATGTCCTCTTATCTGGAAATGTTCTTTAAATACTTGGATGTATGTACTCTCTTGTTCTTATTGAGAAATCATGGCCCTACCTGCCTGTGTAAGCACTCAGTAAGTATTTGAAAACTGTGAGAAAGAAGGAATATAAAACTGAAGTTAATTGTAACCATCAAACTTAGGTTAATTGCAACTATCAACAGAATAATAATAACTAATTGCAATGCTCTGTTAATTGCTCACTTTGTACCTAGGCTATTTCTTCTATCCCTATGTATGTAGGTATGTATGTATGTATCTATCATTAATCATCTATCTATCTCAGCAACAAATAAGGTAGTCCTCATTTTTATATGGAGAAATGAAGCCAGGAAAGTCAAGAAACTTTCCCAAGGTCAATACAATAAGCCAACCAATCAGAATTCAGATCTATATGCCACGAAAAATTTGGGGTTTTTCAATTACAACAAGCTGCCTACCAATTCATTCCTCTAGTTGCCAGGCAATTGGAGTAGAGGCCTTACAAGTCTCTTCCTGACTCTAGTGATTCCATGATTGTCCTCACAACTACCTCTAAAGGTACCTGCCTTCTTGGATCTCAGCTTCTTCATTTGTCAAACAGCCAGGTGCTCTCTAGAACAACCTGGCTTTAACTTCTAGGATTTATGAAAGTCAGAGTTAAAGTCCAAGGAGCTTTGCAAGATTTGACAGCTGGCAGAAACCAACCCTAAACTCAAGGCAGTGGGATTTCCATATGCAAACAGAACTAGTTTCCAAAGGTCTTGCAGAGGTGACCTCAGCTCTGCTGAGTGGTATTTTGTACACCAGGAACTTCATTGAGTCGCTCTAATCTGATGAAGGGTCAGTCTGAGAAGAGCTGATCACTTGCTAGGCTCTGGAGTACTTAGAAGAGTGGACAGAAATCAGCAGAGAACACAGAGGGGCAGAGTCACAGGACTGCAGCTGCCTCTTTGTTCTCTACAATAGTAAGCTCAGTCATAACGCTTCGCGGCTTGCACTTTGTGCTTTGCGAATCCATGATTCCACTTAAACTCTTCGGCAACCCAGCAAAATAGTTCACATTTGTAATTCCAGTTGTCAGCCAAGGAAACCAAGGCTCAGTGATGTGTTACAAAATCAGGATTCATACCCAGGCCCTCAAGGTCAAACCTCATTCCTCTGCTACTTTATGTGTCCAAGTGGCTCCTTGTCGAGGAAGGTAAGAAGCAGCTATTTATTTAATAATCAATAACTGTGCCTTTTCTGAAATGTTCAGGAGAAAACCCATAATCCTTACCATTGCTCTGCCATTGGTATATGCATTTGACCCAAATCGATGGGCTGGCTTTGGATAGCTTAAGGATATCTAAGGATAGTCGAGTGAGTATAGGGCATGGTACAAACTGATCTGCATTGAAACCAAGCTCTGTTAGCTATGTGAACTTCAGTTTCCTGCCCTCTTTAAATCTCACTGTCCTGGGGATATTAACACAATGTACACTTCAGTATTAAGGTTGTTTTGGAACATAAATGAAAAAACTCATACACAGTGCTTTGTGTAGTGCCTGGTAAGTAGAAAACCATTAAAAATGAGAGCTGTCGCCTCCAACACTATGACATCAATAGAAACACATGGTTAAGGGAAAACATTTCTGCCTACACAGAAAATACCCAGAGAAGTCCCACAGATCCAGATTCTTAAAGAAAAAATGCAAAGAAGGCTGAGAATATTTGGTTAATTCTGCTGCAGGCACAGGAGTCATCTGCTGTTATCTTGAGGAGACTTGCTCCCGCCTCACTGCCTTGCCTGAGTGGCTGCAGAGATTTGTTGAGCAATCAGAAGGCAGCAGAGGAGGTGTTATTGAAGCATTCTGATCAACTGCTTCTCATGGCTTATCTCCCCACACACAGCATTCCACACCTACTCCAGCATCAGCTTGCATCCATCACCAAGGAGAGATCTTAAGCTAATAATATCCTCCAAATGTTATTTGAAATCAGGGTTAGTAAAAAATGGACAGTTTGAGAGATTATCCATTAACCTCATGACATCTGTGGATGGGAGAAATGATAAGGAAAGGTCCCGGAAAAGATGGTGGATTTGTTGTACTGCCTTTGTTACTGAGGTTCTTCCAACTTTAGCATGCCCAGAGAGGAGAGTCTGAGGGAAGTTGAGAAGTGATTGCATTCAGAATGGGCATGCCTTTTTCATCAATAATTATTGCCCATTAAAATGCAATATTACATGAAGTATTACATGAAGCATTCACAAATGCTAGTTTTAGGAATCTATGTTCCTAAAAGCACTTAGAAAAAACAATATATATTATATAAACACACATAAATACATATATACGTGTGTGTGTTATATAGTCATACTTTGAACCTAGGAATTCTATTTCTGGGTAGCCTAATTAAGAAAATAATTCAAAACTCTGAAAAAGCTTTACACACAAAGCAGAGTCATTCTTCTTTTGGATGCTCAAATTGTCCTATTTGTCCTGATGAGTTATCTCAGATTCATCTCAGATTTACTCAAGTCAGCCCCTTCTCCAAAGATCCTTGACTTCTTTGGCAGGGTTGGGATTTAAAAGCCAGGATCTGGGTGCGAGGAGCCTTCTTTGCTACTGGGCAACTTTGCTTTTGGTCCTGTCAGTGGGAACAGCTAGACAATACAGTTATTAAAATCCATGAGTCCATAGGAATATAAAAAAAGGAGCAAGGGAAAAAAAATCTCATTTTTCATCATTGGAGATAACTCCTACTAATTCTTAATTCTAAAATTTGGAAATTAAGAGATATAATGAGCATTTATTTTGTCCTTTGGGGTGTGGGGAAGGATAGGGATGATAATTTATTTCTAGTCCAAGAGAAAAAGCTCTTCTTAACAGACAAATGCCAACTAATAAATGGAGACAGAATGGTAGGAGATTCCAAGATGGCAGCTAGAGGGAGGAAGCAGAAAGTGTGCTTCCTAAAGTAAAATCTTGGAGAAATGCTGGAGAAACACCTTATAGGAAAAACCACCAAGAAGAGGCAAAACTTTGACCCCTCCACACCTCCAGCCTGCATAGCATCTCCACTTCACGTTAAACGGAGAAACCAGGAGGGTTCCACACTGCCACCAGACACCAGTGCCCAGACCGCTTGGGAAGACGCAGACCACAGGGTGAGCTAAGCGGCACATGGTACTCCCACAGACAACCCTGGGCCAAATCAGCATAGCCCCCCGGACAGACCGACCCCCACCCAGGGAAAAAAGAAAAAAAAGCTGAATAATAAGCAATAACAACAAAAAAAGACACGTAGCAAAGAGGGTGGGGTGCCCTGAGCACCAAAGAGGGGGGAGGGGAATCCCTCACAGAACTGTAAATAAACAAGCCAGGCTGGAGAAGGCAGGAGCGGTGGCACACACCCAGCAACCAGGAGCAGGAAAGCTTGTAAAAGTGGCGGTGGGAGGAAAACTGCACAGGAGAGGGGGGAAGACCCACTTCCCACGTGAACTGTAAATAAACACGCAGGCCTGAGAAAGTGGGTGCAGTGTCACCTCCCCCAGTGTGCTTGGAAATGGGAAAGCTTGTAGCAGTGGCTCCTGCACAGGAGAACTCTGAGTAAACAAAGCCTGCGGGGCCAGGTGAGTGCTAAGCTCACCCCAGAGATCTGCATAAAAAAACACCTCCAGCAACAGCAGGCTGACAGCAGCGGGCAGGTGAGCCACAGCCACAGATAGCCAGTCACAGAACTGTCTCCAGACTCTTTTTTTT